GGCCTCCACTGCTGAAAGTAGGTCTCTGGCCTTTGCTTACAATGTTGCAATCCTGCTGGCTGAAGTCCAGCGGTATTTGTTACATAGTTTCTTAAACTGCAGGCTCAGAGGCCTGCAGCTGCAGGCGGGGAACATTGGTTTCCTCTGTCACTGAGGCAAGCAAGCTTCATGTTAGTTTCAAGCTGCCTGGCTGCCGGCCGCCATCTTGGCTGTCAGTTAATTTGCATATCTTGCTGATTAGCCAATGGGAAGGGTAGCGGTCGTATGCCAATTACCATGTTTCTCTTTTATTAGTGTAGATTTGAAGCAAAAAGGCTAAAAAATACTTTCACAAACCCAATTCTTTAAATTGTAAGAATAGTATCATCAATAGAATAAAAATTTTAAATTTCCTTAAAAATAGCCAATCATTCCAAGCCCAAATTTATGTCATATACCTTGAGGATCACAGCCCTTTTATTGAGGGTGTCAGGGAGCAGATTTTTGCCTTTGACGGTATATTGTCAGCTACATTCTTTTAAGGGAAGCAGACTGAAATGTGAGACTCTAATGATTATAAATCTGTGCTATTATAATGGAATTTTAAATATTTTCAGAATGTTTCTGACTCAAGAAAGCTGGGAAGTAGGCACTATTATTTTTAAATTAGAATTTGGAAAACATGAGACCCAATTACCTCTGGACTGAGACTCCAGATATGTCTCCAAGCCAGTAGGGGACAAGGCCACATTGAATGGGCGTGCTCTCAGGATCTTGCTGCTTTGTAAAGGGAGGGTGCACACAGTCTAAGGAGGCGTTCTTATGGAAACCCAAAGACAACAGGGGAGACAAATACAGTGACACTAGAGGAACTTGAAGCCCCTGGCAACTGCAGCTACAGAAAACATTAAACACAGCAACCCAACTCGCTGTCAGATCAACGTAAATCCTTACATTAAAGCCTATTTACCTCAGTTCCTGCTACCTGATACGCCATGTCTGGCCATTTTTTCTTCTAAGTTGTGAATTCATTAGCATCACGGGCTGACTGAGTACTCTATAGCCACCTTGCAATATTGCTAAGGTTAAAAAAAGACACACTCATACAAGGTAGCTTGGAAAAACAACTTTTAAAAGTGATCTTTTCCCCTATGCCTTTAAAAAAATAAATCAGCTATTGGTCAAATAAAAATGATTGCCATTAACTAATACACTTTTTGTTTCTCTAGTCATACACACCTAAATCCCTGCTCCTTTTTCACTTTTACTTTTTTCTGACATCCAGGTGGTACAGTGCGTCTCACCAAAGGGACCCCTTGCTTGTTCAAGAACATACTTTTTTGGAGCTACTCATGTTCCTTACTTGGGTAAGTCCCTATAAGTTGTCTTCTTATCAACTTAATAGTTCCTCCTGTGAACCAGAAGTGGACTCATGATTTACTGCTTTGCTCAGAAGCTCATGATGCCCAATTTGTAGCCCTCCAAACTCCCTCTCTGATTGCAAATGGAGGGTTGATGTGCCTAACACATTTCTTGCAGGATGTATTTCAGGAGAAAAAACTATTAGCTCAACATATATCAGTTCTTAACCATGTGTAAGACCAGGTGCTCAGTGTCAGAGGAAGGCAAAGATGAGTAAGTCCTAGGTGGAGGTAACAGGAGGTGTGGGCTGCATTGGGAGTTTGGATGACTCAGCCAGGTGCCCACCCAGCTCTTTTTATGAGGAAAGTGAAGAAAGACCATGGTGGAAAGATACCCAGGATCTAAGAACATGACAGGAGCAAGGGATCCATGTTGTGGGTCCATCCAGAAAGCTAACTAGGGCTGTCCCTCTTTCTGGGGTAACCAGAAGTTGTAGATATGCAAAGAGACAATGAGAAGAACCTCTAGACCAGTGGTTCCCAATGTGGGGCACATGCCCCACAGGGGGGGAATTTGATTTTTAAGGGGGGCAATTCAAGGATGAGTTATTAACAATGAATTTTTTGCATTTCTTATGGTTCTAGGGGCCTCATGTACAGTATGTAAATATATATTGTGACATACATTGTGGCATTTCAGTTCTCTGTTATATGTTTGGAACTTTATTTGCTATTTTTTTATGTCATTTCATATTATTATTTTTTTAATCAATTCCTTAGTGATTTCTTCTTCAGTACTTCACCTGTCGTTTTGTTCTTTTTTCTCTTTCATGGATGCCATGTTCTCTGGAAGTTTGTATAGACCAAGTTAATTGCCTTTTAGGCTTCCTCTACATGAATAGGAGTTCTAATAAGAATTATATGTCACAGGGGGCATCAGGATTTTAGACATGTTTCAGTGGGGCATGGCCAAAAAAAGGTTGGGAATCACTGCTCTAGAAATAAGAGGACCTCAGCACTGCTCCACAGTACATCAGAAACCAGGTTTTCTCCTTGATGTTGTTATATGAGCCAGGAAACTCTGAAAGAAGCATGACTTAGGTCGGATAAGTAAGGAAATGAATAGGCAGAACTGAACCTGCTTACTTATACCTTCTACTTTAAAAAAATTAAAATAAAAGCAAAAAAAAAAATGCCAGAGCCTAAGATTCTGTGTCTTTGGGATTTAGTAGTGATGCTGAATGGGCTGTCAAAGTCATTGTCTGGGGTGAAGTCCAGGAGGATAATGAGAAAAGCTAGGTTTCGCCGTCATTTCTGCTCGTACAATATTTAACTTAAAGGGGGGGAAAGTAGTTCTTGACATCTCTTTTGAATTAAATTAAGAAATCCTAGTTTCCTTGTGAAGTGTTTTCATCTCCTGTGATCTTATCACATTCTTATTAGATCCTCTTTCACAGGTGATGACAACAAGCTGCCCAAGAAAACTGAACAAATGTAAGTCTTCATTTCTATTTTATTTTTTATTTTTCAAAGTTGAGTTACTCAGAAGTTGGACTGTCCTATCTACCTCCTTTTGAGATCAGCAGTGGGTAGGACATCTGCTTTATGAGGTGAGCAGAGCTGTATAATTTCCCCGGAGGTACCCAGCCCCTATCAGCTGGGAGAGTGTAGGCTGGAGACCCTGCCAACTTTGCCATCTGCTGCTGCTCTTTAAAATTCAGAGGCTTCCTACCTGCACATCTATGCATTTAAATGGCATAACTCTTCTTAATATGTTTTCTGCATGGTGCATTTTTTTATTGGGACTTTCCTAAAAATAAAACATCCTGAAACCCATTGGGAGAATCTATATGAAACCCCCTCTGGTCTGAGAAGTGTTTACTCTGGGTTTGACACTCAGATTTACGAAACAGAATTCAGGTCTGAACTCAGGCTCTGCAGCCTTAGAAAGGTCCTAGTGTTGACTTCTCCCCCCTCTCCCTCTCCGCCCCCATCCCCCACACACACACATATAGTAGAAAATCAAAAATGGGAAATTAACTCATAATTCTTGTATTAGTCTACTTGGGCTGCCGTAACAAACATCACAGATTGGGTGGCTTAAACACACAGAACTTGTTTTCTCACAATTCTGGAGGCTGGAAGTCCAAGATCCAGGAGCCTACTGGCCTGGTTTCTGGTGAGGCCTCTCTCCTTGAGTTGCTTTCTCACGTGGCCTTTCCTCTGATCATGTGAAGAGAGAGAAAAAGATCTGGTGTCTCTTCTTCTTTTTAGAAGGTAATATAATCACACTACAGAAAATTTGGAAAAAAGAAAATAAGATCCTCCATAATTTTTCCTTTTTGTCACTATACAATAGTATCTTAATGTACTTTTTCTGGATTTTTAAAAAATTATACATTTAGGTTTTGTATAGTGGTAATTATGGTGTTTGTGCATTTTTGTGGGGGGGGTTTCTTTATCAACAAGTCAACCACATTCTGATAGGTTGGTGGGTATGTATAGTCTTGCTTTGTATCTGCTTGTGCTTCTGTGCCGGCTGTACTTAGCTATTGCACTGGATCCTCATTCTGGACTCTTAGACATTTTGCCTAATCCATATCCATTGGTACCCAGCTTCATGGACTGGTATCGAGGGGTGCTTGGGCGCACATCAGGGGACTGGTGGAACTTGGGCCTTGTGACATCCCAATAATGGCAACAGCAGCACGATCCAGGCACAGAGCAGGCCCTTCCCTTGTCATGGGTCCCAGACCTCCCATCCAGGCCATGTTAGTAGCTCAGTGGCTTTTTATTGAGCTCTTGTCTGAGGGCCAAACAGGGGGAAGCCTGATCAATGTTAGCACTGAATGATATTTGAATCAAGCTGGGTTGGGGAGGGCGGAAGGTCATCTTTTTTTTTTTTAAGGGTACCATTATTTTTTATTATTATTATTA